ATACCTGTTGATCAGAAGTGTGTTTAGTGGATAGGCCCATTTCTATCACTTGTTGACTGCTCTTGTAGTCATTTAGGTGTGTGTGTTTGGACCCAACATTTATGATGTATGTAGCAAGAACAGTGGTCTTACCTTTAGCAATGCTGAAATGTACACAGGACTATGCACTCCTCCACCCCGACCACATCATGACACAGCTTTGACCTGATCTCAGGTGTGTGGCACTGGATTGGGGCAGTGAGATAAGATGGGGAAGATAAGTACAATGTACCTATGGTGCCTCATGTGCAGCAAACCTGTTACTTTGCCTAGTATGGGTAATGTAAAGGTCTGTTTTACGTTTATGGCCCAAGATGAAGATCACATCACATTTCAGGAACTATCCATGAACAAAACCAGAAAAGTCTTCAGGGTTCACAAACTATTTCTCGCAGCAGCATTTAGAGTAAACATTTTTTACTGGGTTCTGCTAGAAGTAAGCATATTTTAGAAAGCAAATATTTATCAGTGGAAACATGCATTTTTCTTCTAAAATAACTGATTCATACCTTGGAACAAAATGAGATTTAATTAAGCAGCACTTTAAAAAGTAAATACTTTTTTAATGATACACATCTAGCTTTGGTAAGACTGATTTTTAAGTACAAATATGCAATAGAAATACAGGCTATACTAAGATGACCTCACGTTAGGGAGATACTGTATATTCCTGAAAAATTGTAATAAGGCTTAAATATTAATACATGATTAATTAGAGATTAAATGTTTTCAATATCTTTACTCAGAACAGCAGTAAGGAGATAAAAGCAGAGAATTAATTAATGGTGACAGCCTAACAGTCTGGTAGTTTCCACTCCTTGGAAAAGTATGACATAACATTGCTGAGGAACTTTGCTAAGGTATCAAAGCAAAATCAGAAGTTTAACGTTAAAAGCAGTATTGGAGCACAGTGAGGGAAAGATCTGTATATGATAGCTAAACTTGAATCCCCATGGAGCCATTAATCTCCGTGGCAGTATACTTTTCAAAGTACAAGGGTGCACAGGATGTGATAAAAACAATTCTGTGACAGTGACATTTTGGTATAACTTTGTCTTTAGAAATAAAAGAGGGACCTCTCGCCTCTTTTATTATTTTTTGGGACTCTGTTTGATGCACGTTTCTCCAAACTGTTAGTGCTACAGAAATGGCTGGTGCAATACAAATAAAAAACTAGAAAGGTGGTGTATTACTGATCAAGAAAGGCAAGCCATGATCCAAGTTTTTACTATTGTTTAGTATTAGTGATCAACTAATGAACAATGTGCCGTAATGCATAAGTGGGAGTTCGCTAGCACGGATCAAATGGTAGACACAGGAATGTGCGCTGAGCAGCTTGGATTTTAATCAGGAGTTATTACCGTGAGAGGAAGCTGTGGATCATATTTTATGGAATTATATTATCAAATACATTTGTGAGTAGTATTTTATCAATAAAGATTTTATGGTTGGATGGTTTGACGCTATGGATTGCTTTTATTTTTGCCTTTATTAGTGGCGATTGGGAGAGTGGTTCTACATCGATTCTAGAGTCAACCTGGTATAAAATTAGAGTCTTTGGAGCACGACTAGACCCGTTTGAGGTCTAATCTTAAGGTGATCATCTCTCCTAGAGGGGGCTGTCACTAAGGATCCCTCTATTGCTGTGAATTATATTGTCATGGCTTTTCCAGATTTGTGTTGGACACATGGATTAATTAAGTGTTGAATATTTTGAACACTTGCCACTTTATTATTGCACTCTAATTAATGTTTTATTCATAAGATTGTTTATAAGAAAAAGATACAAGTTATTGTTCCCAATTTTTCACTGTGAATTGTTATTTTTATATGTTTATGAAGAGTTAGCCCAGCACATTGTTCATTAGTTTATCGCTGGATATCTTTTTTAGATATTTTTAGTGCTCACAGCTGATTACACTTATTGGCGCAGGATTAAGATCATAGTATTAATGATCAGTTTATTAACCACAAGATGGTGACCAAAACCTCAGTTGCAAGAACCTAATATCACACGGTGAGATTTAACCACAAGCTGGAAAATCTCTTTACTAATAAAGATAATTTTTGACTGTTCTGAGAAGTTTTAGGTGTTAACAGAGGCAGCTCCTGGGACTCATACAAGGCAGGCAGATCTTAATCCACCCATCATTCATGGGGACATATATGCCTATCTATGACCAACCTACATACTAAAAACTACATTTAGCATGTAACATATGGCAATATTTATTCTTTTTTTGTTTTTAGTAAACATTAGATCATGGCTCATTCACAATAGCTGAATAAAATTTCCTTTCCCATAGCATTACAGCAGAATTTGGCTCTGAATGTTTCTAGTGCATGCTGGAAAGGGATAACAATTGGTTTGCTGCTATGGATAACAACTCCATATGTCATTCAGTTTGTATACGTGGAACTAATTGTGTATCAGATAATGCATGATTTGTAGTTGGTAGGAAAAAAACAAAAATCAGTGAGAGTTTGTTTTTATTATACTGCATATTTCAAACAATTGAAAGTGAATCCATATCCACATTTTTAAACTCAATTCCATGCTATAAGGTAGGCCTCAAAATTTCCACTCGGCCCCTCGCAATCGGCAAGTGAAAATTGCGGGGGGGTGAGTGGAATGTCAGCGATGGGGTGCGCCGCCGGTGGGACCAGGGATGGGACACTACTGCCGCGGCGATCGCTCGCTTCTGTTCTCCCTTCCTTGGCTGCTGCAGCTACAGAGCGGCCGAGAAGAGAGAACAGAAGCGAACGATCACCGCGGCGGTAGTGTCCCATCCATGTTAACGCTCCCTCTATCAGTCTCCTCCCAGCCGCTCTGAAGCTGCAGCGGCCAGGAGGAGAGAGAGAGAACGCTGACAGGTGTGATCAGAGTCGCCTCTCTGAGTGCCCGCTTCGTGGAGCTGAAGCGGCCGGGAGGAGAGAGAGGGAAAGCTGACAGGTGTGATCAGAGCAGTATTAAAGAGTCCCCCTTCCCAGTCCACATCTTTTGGACGTTATTAATCTGAGTTGCCCCACTCAGTATGCCCCTCGCTTGCGGCCATATTGAGTGGGGCACTCATATAAATAACGTGCTGGATTAGTCTGCCCCAGGGGCGGACTAGGCCCGGGGGCAGGGTGGCTATTGCCCCCCGGGCCCCTCTGATACTTTTGCAAACACCCCTCGCCGCCCGCAAGCACTTAATCTCTCCCCTCTTGGCCGCTGCAGCAGCAGAGCGGCCGAGAGGGGAGAGATTAAATGCTTACGGCGGCGGTGGGGGGCGTTTGCAAAGGTATCAGAGAGGCTTGACTGCCATCGTCTGTGCCCGCTTCGATTGGGCTCCTTGGTGACCACAGCAGTTTCCTGCGCCCACCTCAGCTGCTATTGGTGGGAGAAGAAGACTGCCGAACTGCAGTTGGCCGGCTTCTGCTGCGCAGGAGTGAGAGCCGGCTGGACGTGTAGGAAACCTCGCGGCTCCTCCACCATCACCAGGAGAAGAAGAGGTCAAAGCAACTGTAAGTCCCGGTACTTTCTTTGTGACCTCTGCACTGCGATACATTCTGACCGCTGATTTCTGTATTGTGTACTGACCTCTGTACTGTGCGTTACACCCTGACCTCTACACTGCGCATCACATTGCTGACCTCTACACTGCGCATCACATTGCTGACCTCTGCACTGCGCGTCACATTGCTGACCTCTGCACTGCACGTCACATTGCTGACCTCTGCACTGCGCATCACATTGCTGACTTCTGCACTGCGCATCACATTGCTGACTTCTGCATTGCGCGTCACATTGCTGACTGGTGTACTGTGCGTCACACAGCTGGCCTCTGTATTCTGCATTGCACCACTGACTTCTGTACTGTGCATTGTTACTGATCTTTGTACTCGGCGTCACACCGCTGACCTGGCGGAGTTAAGGCCGGGGGCAGGGTAGGGGTTAGGTGGGGCAGCTGGTGGCGAGTAACTTTTAAGGCCTGGCTAGTAGCTTAGGACTTTTTGACCCCCGCTATAAGGTATTAGCCAGACTGAGATTATACAGTATATAATGCAATCAAAAAAGAGTATGTACATGTCTCTGTATAATTCAACAAGCTAATGAAGGCAACAGCCTAGGAGGGAAGGGCTATGCAACAATTATTTAGAAGAGTTATTAAACTCTTCAAAGCAACATATTACAGATTTTATACACTCTAATTGAAACAGAGTAGGGACATGTTTCTGTGTAATTCCACAAGTTTAAGCAGGCTACAGTCTGGGAGGTAAGGGGTTATACAACTGTTAATGTGCAAAATTCTTGAAACCAACCCATTACAGATACAAATTAAAGTACAAAACAGATTTCTTCATGTGCAATTGACAGCACAATTGAAACACTCCCATATATATATCACATGCCACATAACCCACCAACATAAGTCTGACATCAGTGGATTCAAACTGGGCAGCTGAACAAGATTTAGGGCCTGTGTGGACGGGCTTTGGGTTTATGTTAATGGCATCAGTTCAACATCAGTTTGAAACAGTTCTGAGTTAATTCAGAATTCATTGACAGGTACATTTGACCTGCAGTGACCTCTTTCTGACCTGCATTTTACTTCCTTCAAGTAGACTTGTATGAGAATAGAAAACCCTTGAAACCTTAACTTCAAAGTCTACATGGACATAGTGAAAAGGGCAGCGTGCCTTTGTGTAAACTCAATTTAATATAAGCACTACTGTTTTCTAGCTAAGTTTTCTATTCACAGCATCTCTGCAGCACTTTCCCCATAGTTTACCAGAATTTGATCAGCAAAAACAAGAAAAATAGAATTATTCAGTATACCTTTCTAATACATTAATACATTTCTAAAACAGTGCTCTATCTTCACAAGACAAATAAACATTTTACACACCTACACCACTCATCATATCCATTAACAAATATGTTTGGCTATAAGTAGTAATAAGAAAGAAAACATTACCCTAATGAGTAGATTCGACATTGCTTATTTCTGATCTGATATGCCAGACTGAATTTGGAATCCAAGCAGACTGTCCAGGGCTTTACGCTGTCCTCAGTCTTCTCTGTCAATCCATTTGTCACTAGTCGAGAACATATAATCTGGAGGACAACATAATTCCTTTAATTTTCTAGTAGAGAAAACAGTTTGAAAGAGCACTCTGCTTTGGCTGAACCCCCACCCCTTCAACCTCTGCAGCAATGCTTGCAGCAATGCTGGCAGCACTCATACGTCTATTTCCAAAAGACAACCTGATGACGCTGAGCACGTGAACTCAACTTCTTTGGTCGACCATGGCGAGGCCTGTTCTGAGTGGAACCTGTCCTGTTAAACCACTGTATGGTCTTGGCCGTCGTGCTGCAGCTCAGTTTTAGGGTCTTGGCAATCTTCTTATAGCCTAGGCCATCTTTATGTAGAGCAACAATTCTTTTTTTCAGATCCTCAGAGAGTTATTTGCCATGAGGTTCCATGTTGAACTTCTAGTGACCATTTTGAGAGAGTGACATTAATGGCTGTGTGTTAAGTCATTTTGAGGGGACAGCTAATGTACACTGATATACAAGCTTTACACCCACTACTTTACATTGTAACAAAGTGTAATTTATTCAGTGTCGTCACATGAAAT